CAAGATAGATGCTATACAGAACTCAAAATAGAAGAATCTTAAAAATATATTCTAAAATTAATCACAAGTAAAACAAGTGATAAAAAAAGCTGTATTGAACAAAAACAAGGATGAAGAATGAAATCAAAGTGGAAAGAAGAGTATTATGAATCGTGGTGCTCACACATATATTCAAGAAGCCATCTCGTTCATCTCTCCTCTCTCTCTCTCTCTCTCTCTCTCTCTCTGTGCATATCCATCGTATATAATCGTACGCAGGGAGGCAACAAGAACTCGTCGTCATTTCTGAATTAATCTCATTCGACTGCCCCCTTTATACTCTCCCTCGCATCCTGCGGGGCAAGAGGCTCGTAGCCGCTTCGTGGCCTCAAGGTTAATTGGAACGAGAGTTAGAAAAGTAAAAGGATCGGATAGAAATCCCACGTGATGAAGGTCACGTAAGTTTTCTTACCGGCCCCCTGTCTTTTAAACGCACGCTCGACCGATGGATGCACTTTCGCCTCAAGGGTGAAGAAAATAAGGTTATGTCCTCTTTTTTGAAACCATGTACCAAAAATTTTTTCCATAATGTATGCTTTCAAACATACAACTACATTTAATGCAATTTCAGAATTAATATGAAGATTCACATTTGAAGATTATTAAATGAAAAAAAAAAAAAAGAGACGAATATTATCTTCTAAATCTAAACTACCTGCACGCGCATTTATTTCTGGTTGCTTTTAAGTAAACATCGAGAGAGAGAGAGGGAGAGAGAAAGGCTGGCTAAAGAGAAAAAAATTAGGGGTTGGTGCACAGGTGTATCGATGATCCCCAGAACAGAATACCTTTTATTCGGGTGGTTGGAGAACCTAGGATATGCGCACCATTTACTTTTATTACGTGAAAGAGGCCTCTCTATTCAGATGATCCGTTAAGCTGGTCAAAAAAGAAAGAAAAATTCCATCGTGTTCCTTTCCTTGCGAACGATTGAGATCCTTCCTACCCTTCGGACGAGCTCATGGGGACGTAACGCGAATAGACGTGTCGGTCCTCGACTCTTCAATTAGTCCCGGAAGTCAACGTAACGAGAATTCCAAGAAAAATAGATCTGACGCTAGAAAAATATCCTTTTTCTCCCTTACTTTTTTTCATAACAAAGTTATACAAATATTGCTATTGCGGTAAAAAAATTTTACTTTAGATTATTTTAAATAATCGATGCTTCAGATTTTGTTAAAATTTTTTCATCCAATTACTTTATTCCACGTTTATGAATTTCTATATGATTATTAATCTCTGTTTTCTTTCAGATAACGCATCGTTGAAATCTTGCACATTTAACAAATATATATATATATAAATGATTTCTTTCTTCTATCTAAGATAAGATATTTAAAAGAAATTATATTAAAATTGATATATATATATTTTCAGAAATAACGCATCGTTGAAATTTTGTGAGTGAAAAATATTTAATCTTGCACATTTAACATATATATATATATATAAATGATTTCTTTCTTCTATCTAAGATAAGATATTTAAAAGAAATTACATTAAAATTGATATATATATATATTCAGAAATAATATCGCATCGTTGAAATTTTGACGGAATTAAATCACGAATTTTTAAAGATCGAACGAACGAAACGGCTTTGCAGTGTCAGCGTGAATTGGCAAGTAGTATGGGACAGAAACTGATCAGACGTTTCTCCAATTAAACGGACAGCCTAATGGCCCAATAATATCGATCTCTATAAACGAATGTGGGGTCGGTTTGGCTTTAAGTAAAAGTCCAAACGAATCGACCCTTGCTCCCTCCCTCTTCCCCTCGTGGCACTCGTGGAGGGCAGCCTTTCTATTAGCCACTAGAAATCGCACGAACCCTTCACAGGGACAAATCGAAACGGTACCATAGCTGCTGGCCCTCCCGGCTGTAATAGAGTTTCACGCTCGTCGAGAGAATTGGCCCGAGTCAGA